GTCAGAAGGCAACACCCACCGCTCAGGCTCCACTGGACTGTTTTATAGCTATTGGGGGGGGGGGGCGTGCAGATCTGTCCTCACAGAGGAGGGAGAGCTTATACCTGAATAAAACCTGGTCTTTAAAGTGCCACTGGACTGTTTTGGACCAGGGAGCCGGTGGGAGCTCTGCAACTTACCTGGCTGCTTCTTGCTCTGACTGAGGGCTGCTGGGAGCAGGGGGTGGGGCTTGTTGCATGTGCCCGCCCCCTGGGCTCTTTACTGCCGGAGCTCTGCTCCTGTGCGCTCCTGCAGGAAATGACCCCTGGTGACACAGAAAGTTGTTCATGTAGTTGAAAACTCCCACGGGTCCATGGGGTTTGGCTGTGCTCAATTAGCATGGCCTGGCACCATAGAAGCTAAGTAAGATCGTTACTTTTGTATCCAGTGCAAACTTCAGTTTGTAAAAGGTGCACTCCATGTTACCAGAAGCTTTGAAATAAAATATGCTACTTTTGTGGCAAAGTATATCGGCAGCTTTCCCTTCTGGTTGGCAGAATTAAATTTTGCTTTGTTTTATGGACACCCTGTTGTTCCTTGTGTCTCATGTGTGTGCATGCAGATGGTTGTTGTATGCACCTTGTTGCAAACAACTTTCATAAAGATGGCAATGTTCACACCAGCTGTGTTCACTAGTACAATATTGGTACTTGGTAGGCTTTGATCTCTGAGCCTTTCATTTCCAGAAAGGTTCCCTTTTGGCCTCAGTTAATATTTCCCCCAGCAGCTTTTTTGCTTTCCTTGAACCCATTTCCCTACTTCCTTGATTGGTTTGCCTTACAGCTGGGTTTAAAGTAACTTTCATATACAGACTATTTTTCCCCCCTCAATGATTTGGAGAGGCTCACTGCCACAGTTTGAAATTAAAGCAGCCAAATTCCAGACACAACTCTTCTTCTGTTTCCAGTGGCACATTCAGCTGGAGTTTTCATAAATGAGGAATTCATACATGTATAATTAATAAAATAGCACATTAACAGCTGTGAACTTTAGGCATTTATTTTTTTTGTCTCTGTAGGGTAAAAACCCCTTCATAATTTTCTGTTGTGCCTGCAGAACGCATGAATTATGCAGACTTTTCCCAACACATGGCAGCAAGGTGGTTCTGTAAACAGCTGAGCTGTTTTGTAATGTGTGTTAAGAGTGATCAAAAATGGAACACTTGCAAACGTGATTTTTTTTAGAATTCATTCACATAGAACCTTGACAGTGAGAGTGGAGTTTTCCACCCTGGTTGACTTTGCACTAGGGGTGTGCAAGAACAAAATAACTCAGCCCAATTCGTTTCAGCCAAATTGGGCCAAATCTGATTCGGCCCCTGAATGCCACTTTTGGCAACTCAAGTGGATTTGAGGATCATTCGGGGCCCCAAATCACTTTTGGGTGGGAAGGCAGTTTAAACTGCCTTCACTTCCCTCCAAGGGACAGCTTGCACCGGCGCCTCGCAGCCGCGGGGCACACAGGCAAGCCAGGGAAGGGAAGGCAGTTTAAACTGCCTTCCCTTCCCGCCAAGGGACGGCTTGCCCACGTGCCTCGCAACCACGGGGCATGCGGGCAAGCCAGGGAAGGGAAGGCAGTTTAAACTGCCTTCCATTCTCTCCAAGGGAATGCCTCCCCGTGCATTCCCCGGCTCGCCCACCAAAGCAGGTGAATTGGGGAAGGCTTCCAAAGCCCTCCCGCCCTCCCTTCCCTGGCCACCCGCCGAGGTGGGCGAGCCAGGAAAGGCCCGGGAGGGTGCAGGGAGGCATTTAAATGCCTCCCCGGGCTGTCCCTGTGCCAGGGTCGCTTTTCTGGTGAGCCCCCAAAATGCCGCCAAACTTCGGTGGTGGCTTTCAGCAGCAGGCCAAATCAGATTAGAGAATCTGATTCAGCCTGAGGCTGCCCGAAAGTGGGCCAAATGGGCCATTTTCCGGGGTGCATTTGGTTTGGACGAACCGAATGCACATCCCTACTTTACACACTTGTAATCATTTTGTGTCTTTTGAGTTTGAAATCTGGTTCAGTCTTGAGAGTTAGAGATGCCAGCATTCACCTTTCAAGAGAGGAAACATAATCTGTGCATTTTCTTTTGGGCGGAAGAATAGAGGCTTTACATTGCATCTGGGAATCTAGACGAAAGTAATCCAATGTATGTCTGTGATTCCCAGAAATTTACCTGGGGCCAGTTGATGGAAGTATCTGTAATGTCAGACAAACACCTCTGAAAGGCAGTGGCTGTGTTCAGCCATCTCAGTAAATTGTGGTTTGTTTAAACAAATTTGCCCTGGGCCTGGATCGAATATATGCAAAACAGGAGCAATTTCAGAATTACTTAGTGTAAAGAAGTCATGTCGATTTGCTTAGTTTTGTATAATTGATGGAACCTGCACAATTTGCCCTGCCGGGGTACAAAATTTTAATATTTTTTTGCAGTCCTGTTGTTGCACTCCTGTTGAAGAGTATGCTAACTTGAAAGCCCCTCAGTGCTGCTTCCTGTGGTTAAACAGAAAGCAGCTCCATAAAGCTGTGGCACTTTCCCAGCCATAATGAGGCAAGCATAGTTTTAATTTACCTAAAAGGCACACTAAAGTGAATTAACTTTTCAAGAAAAATGGCGCACTTGGGATTCCTTTCGTTGTTTTTGCTTCCTCATTCACCACCGGTGCCATTTCCATTTGGCCCTGGTAGCATCTGCCTCATTTAACCCAAATGTGTTGACAGGAGTGCTGTTCCACATTTTGCATACAAGGAAAGCAAAGGACACATTAGCAAGTTTGAAATGTGAATGAAAGCAACACTCTATTCTTTGTTGCAACAGTAGAAAGAAATAATTCTGTTGTGTGGCTCTTTTCTTCCCCCTTCCTCTTCCAAACTGCCTGGAGCATTGATAATAAAACTTCTTTTTACAGCCGCCATGGCAGCCATGTATTACAGTTACTACATGCTGCCGGATGGAACGTACTGCCTTGCCCCTCCACCCCCTGGAATCGATGTTGCCACTTACTACAGCGGGTTGCCAGCAGGGGTGACTGTCTCGAGCACCACAGGGATTGCAACAATAACAGCACCCCCTCCTCCTGGCACAACTCCTCCACCACCGTCGGAGGCAGCTGATGACAGCAGCGGAGCCATGCCCGCCACAACTGCTGTGAGGTACCATATTTTATACCCACTTTATTTCCACCTGCTTTGCAGTTGCCTTTGGGAATTCTCCCATCCCCATCCCTGTCCCCCCCAAAAAAGGTAACTAGGATCCAGCATACCACTTTAGTCATTGTGCACACCTTGTAGGCCTTTGTGTTTCTGAAATGACAGCACCGCCTGCCCACCTGTGTGTTATTGGGGGTGGGGGGGGAGGTTGAGAGTCAGTCAGTGACTGCAATGCTGCTTTGAAGGCCTGCTGATCAAAGATTTAAATATCCACCAGACACCTCTTGGGATCCCTTCCCGGCATTCAGATTTTTGGTTCATAATTCCCTGAAGACTTAGCTTGGGCAGCCAGTTTGAAACACACATGCGCTTGCCTGTGCGCGCACACAAACACAGCTCTGTCATCCAGAAGTCTGTTTTGTTACAAGATACTCTGACGTTTTTTGCTGTATTCTCACTTCTCTTAAGGCCAGTTCACACTTCCTGGCAGCTTGTTTTCAATTCTTTGGCTCCAGCAGACTTGCAGCTGGGCTGCACTCATGCAGCTTTCCTGTTGGTATAAATTGGCAGCTTCATGTGCGAGTCCCACGTGACTACTATGACTTCCATGAGTGCAGCAGCTCTTTGGTTGGGCTGTAGAACCAAACAAGCAATGGCATCCTCATATACAGCCTCCAAGTGAAGATGCTGTGTGTGTGTGTGTGAGAGAGAGAGAGAGAGAGACTACAGCAGGGTACTTCGCAGCTATGAATCTACCAGTGGCCCTATCCGTTCCTTTTGCACTTTCCAGGGGCACTGAGAAATATGAATCAATCCTTTCTCTTGCACTTTTCCAATAAGATGTAGTTCTTTCTTTGGGGGGGGGGGGGAGGGAAGGGTCATGAGTGGTTTCCTTGATTCAGACCGGGATATGGAAACATTTTAGCTTTCGCAATTGGATACATGTGCTTGTAAATATTAAAATGGTTAATTAAAAAGGCAGTTCAGGTGCAAGTATTTTTCACTGTATGCTAAAACTGTGATGCTTCCCCAGGGAATAAAGAGCTGTATAATGCACGCGCCAATGCTGACTAGATTTGGTTCACACATGATGTTCTTAAAGGCACGTTCTCTCTCTCTCTCTCTCTCTCCCTTTTAATTATGCAAAATTCTAAAAATGCCCAGATGATCAGCACAGCGTTGGTTGCATAATAAATGTGTGGCTATGTAACCCTGATCTGTCCCAAACACTAATGTTTCCTTGGTTGTTCTTGATCCCTGTTTGGGTTGTGTGTAATTTAGAGCTTAAAAGAAATGTCAGGTTCTTATCTCACTACCAGTGTTCCCTCTAAGCTGAGTTAGTGTGAGCTAGCTCACAGGTTTTTAGCCTCCGACTCACACATTTCTGTCTTAGCTCAGGAAGGATGGCTCCAGAGCAAACTGATATATGCAGCAGCCAAATCGCTCGCTCACAACTTTAATGCCAGCAGCTCACAAACGAGAATTTTTGCTCACAAGACTCCACAGCTTAGAGGGAACATTGCTCACTACACGTGCTAAGTCACTCAGTTCTCATTTATACCGAGAATTAAACTTTGTTGGTCTTAAAGGTGCCACTGGACTCAAACTGAGTTTTCGTATCTGTTTGTTAACTCCTATGCTAACTTGCTGCTATTTACAGGTCTTAGCAACTGCTTTAATGCAATCTTAGCTGTACTTATCTCTCAGTTACTTATGCATCTTGAGTCTCATTAGCCCTTCCTGGCAACCAACCTCCCACCCCACCCTCTCTTTACCTATATGTAATTGTTGAGGAAGTCTTATTTCAGTGTATCTGAAGAAATGTGTATGCACATGAAAACGTATACCCAGAATTAAACTTTGTTGCTCTTAAAGGTGCCACTGTACTCAAACTTTGTTCTTTAGCAAAACACTGAGCTTTGTGACATTAACAATACATCATACATGATGGAGTTTGTTTTTGCTCAGGCTTCCAGTGCCTTGGATTAAAATATCTTGGTTATGCAGTTGCTGCATTCCCAACAACAGCAGAGACGTCCCAGCTAGCACCTCACAGTGAACAAAAAGTATAGAGGAAAAAACACCCTAATAGGCATGTTATGCAAAAAAGTATAGAGGAAAAAAACACCCTAATAGGCATGTTATGCATATCCACTTAGTTAATAAAATGTTCTATTTGCAAGAGCGTAACGCTCAAGTATTAAATTAATTCTTAAGAGTTTCATACACAGACCATCAATTGATATTCAGAATGTTGATACTACCCATCTCAAATGCTGACATTTCTGTGAAGTTCTGGTGCATTTGCCGTTTCAACTGTAGTTTCATTTCTCAAGAAGTGACCAAATGGATGTTAATGACACCAGCAAATGTGTTACGTGGACAGAGTACAGTAAACAGATGTCATCAGAAGTAATCAGAATTGCATATATATTGCACATCAGCTTGAATGCTGTGAAAAGCATACGTTCTGCTGTGCAGTGCAGAACGTGAAACAAGTTGCTGGCCCTCATGGCGTCATAGAAAAGTTTCAGAGAATATGCAGTAGAGTCTTTTTTATTCTGCACGTGTTTACCCAGAATGCTCTCAGTTAATCAACATTGCCCAGAGGGCAATCTCCTCCCCCCCCCAGCCACCATCCCCCTGCACCTTTGAGTGCACAGGCACTCCACTCCTGGCTCTCTGATTAGCCAACCAGTTTGCTGCTTTTGGGCACTGCTGGGCTTCTGACAACCACTGGTGCCAACTGACACCTCAAACCTGCCTCAAGGTATTGGGAGCCAGGCCCCCCTCCGGCAGTTGGCGCACTTGCCTGCCTCCTGTGCTCCATGGCTTGAGGGGAAGAATCCTGCCAGCCACATGGGGTTGTCACCATGATGCTCCTAGTGGAGTAAGATTTGATTGCTGCAGATCTCTCTAGGTCAGGGGGCAGAGCAAAGCAATAACCTTGAGTATCCAGCACATTTAATTAAGCAGCAACCCCCATTCCTCATGAATGCCTGGTAACAAAAGCTTTTACTGGAGGTGTTGTATGATGAAGGCTCAGAAACTGACATGCTCTGCAAAGGTGTGTTCCACTGAGGAGTGAAGAGATCTGGTATCCTGCAAAGCTTCACAGCTTGGTGCCAGATCTGGTGATTTAATGCAGATATGCATAATTTCCGTTCACAGCGTCTGATTTTTCTAATGCAATGCAAATAGCTTAGCTTTACCAAAACTCGCTTTTCCAGCATGAAGTAGCTCATCATTACTCACAAACAGAGATCTCCAATGTGAATTCCTCCACAGGCTTAACATGGCTGCAGTTGTGTCTGTGTAAATAATAAACTTCCAATGTTTTCAGCACAATCCCTCCGGTGGTTGCCATCATCCCCCCACCCCCGGACATCCAGCCTGTAATTGACAAGCTGGCTGAATACGTCGCAAGGAACGGGATTAAATTTGAGACCAGTGTTCGTGCCAAGAACGATCCAAGGTGAGCGCAAGGGGCTTTTTTCTTAATTATTTCATTTTATGATACGATGAAAGAGAGCAGCTTGCCCGTCTCTCTCTCTCTTATTGACAGTCTGTTTTGCAAAGAGAGCTGTTCAAGTAATGTGTTGTAATTCCTTATATCAAAATTCAAGAGACTCCTCGAAGTTAATGATAAAGCGTTATTGCCTAAGAATCTTGAAGTTGGTGCTTCTGAACGTATATATCTTCTGGGCATTTTTTTAATAAGTTATTATATTTCAGAATATCAAATAGCCTTTCGGTGCCTGGGGTGAAGGAATTTTAAATGGTGGTTGGTGTTTGCTATGTCGGGTTGTGCTTTTTTAAAAAAAAAAAAAAATCACGCTGTTCCTTTCTAACAGGTTTGAATTCCTCCAGCCATGGCACCAGTACAACGCTTACTATGAATTTAAGAAAAGATTCTTCCTCCAGAAAGAGGCCAGCGACAGCTCAAAGGTATGTTTTATAAAAATGAGAAGTAACATTGTGTATTTTTCTTCTCCATGCTGTGTTGCTTTCAGGTGTACCTGAGATTAGGTCAGCAAAACCAGTTCTTGTAAAGGGCATTTAGAGTGTGCAGTTCTATGCACCCAAACCCCAAGAGGTGTGGGCCAGTAGCTCGCAGCTCTCATGTAGTACACAGAATTAACATTATGGTTTGTAGCATCCCACATGACAAATGCACTGTTATGGTAGGGCTTTGAATAGGCAGCCCCCCCAAAAAAATTTCTAGGGGAGAAACACTCCAGGCTTTTGGCTAACAGAGCATACAGTCTTTATTAAGGATGATCATCCCGGTGCTTGCAAGACCAGATCATGCAAGCATCCTGAACAAGATACAAAGTCCTTCCTTTATAGGGTAAAGTAGGCAAAAGGCCATGGTCTAGAATTTCGAAGAGAGCTCATCAATTCTGTTCCCAGTCACAATTCTCTCTCTAACCTCTGTTCAAAATACATGTTCCAAAAAGAAAAAACACCAAACCATGAAACTTCCCTGAGAGAACATGGCTCCAACCTTTGACTGACATAGTTGCTAAGTGAACAGAGGTCAAAAGGGTGGGGGGTGGACTCAGGCAAGAACGCAATATTTCTAAAATTTGTCAAACCAACATAGGCTCGTAATGATAAGACATGTAAAATTCCTTAGCATGCACAGATTTTCCTAATACCTTGGTGTATTGGAACTTGTACACTATGTGAGGCCTTGTCTTTAGTGATGCTGAGAATTCAGTGGAGGGGACTGGTCAGACGGTATCTGCATTTCTCCTGAATATTGCTGCCTGTGAGATGCCTCCATTATAAGGCAAGTCTGTTAGATAACACATCCTTTGGGATTTTCCAGCTGATTCCAGAGGTCTTCTGAAAATACAGATCCACAAGCTCCTGAAAGAAGACTCAAACTGTAATGTTTTAGATCAGTGATTCCCAGCCTTCTCAGTATGGTGACCTACAAGACCAAATCTGCTTGGTATACTGATCCCCTTAAAACAGAGGAAACACAAATCAATACAGTTGCCAAAGCCTGGACTCAGTTTCACCAGTGTCATGAGCTACTTTTGACTCGGGGCCTACAGGTTGGGAACCACTGCTATAGATCATCAGGATTGTCTTGAGTGAGCTTTGGGTGTTCAGAGGGCTCAACTCTGCTGCAGGGAAAGGGAGAGAGTTGCAGGAGATACAGGGATGCAAAGTGGCTTCAGTTGTTCACTTATAAAATGGTGCCCCATTTTGTAGCAGGAGCACTGCAGTGCTAACTTCTTTAAAAGGCCTGCCCAGATGAGTCACTATTCTTTGCTGTCATACATACCATGCAAAGTTATCAACTGAAATCAATTGCCTTTCCCCAGAATGGGGACATAAGAAACTGGAAATCATTACCCAGAAGGTAAAATTAACCTGCCTTGCCTTCTGAAGAGATACCTAACAATGTCTTTGTCGAGGCATAGGCGGCCTTGGAGAGTGGCGTGCCACCATGAGTAGGTCACTTTTTGAAACCTGGGCACAGCTGAAATTAGTGTTTTCTGTTTATTCTGCTCTGAATAGTTTATAATGCCAGTTTGTGTTTATGAAAAGAGACAGTAAGGCGACAACACTGTTGCCAGGAAACAGTTTATCTAACATTTTTTCCGTGATAGGGATTAGGTTGCTTTGAAATTAGTAGTGGGTGTACTAATGAACCAAATTGATCTTGCAGTTTTAAACAATTTCCCTTGTCAGTTTGTTTTGTAAAACAAAACCCCTTGTTTCAAGGGGAAAAGGTGGATGAGTGGATCCTGACCGAATCATTTTGACACTTGTGCCACAATTTTGGTTATAATTGGCTGCTACGTGTTGGCTAGTTGTATTCTCAGGCCCATCCAATACCCAGATCCAGAAAACAGTGAAGCCAGTGAAGTTCCATGAGATCATGGGAGGCTTGTAAACTGCTTGCCTCCTTATAGTGATCACGAATTGCCACCAGGCAACCCAACAGAGTCTGTTCTGTAAACTGGAAGAGAGCTGGCTGTTTGTACGCATAAAGCGGCATCACCCTGAGTCAGACCCTTGGTCAAGGTCAGTACTGTCTGCTCCGACTGGCAGGTGCTCTTCAGGATTGCAGCTACGGGTCTTTCACCGCTCTTTTTCTGTGCTTGCCAGAACCTCCCCTCCCCTTCCACAAGTCTTCTGGTCTGCTTGGCGTAAGAACCGGTGACAAAGACACATGTTGCTTCTCACATTCTCCATATTATAGCACAAGTGAGAGAAGATCTTGACTCTCCCCAAGCCCCCTTGGGGTTTTTCTTGTACTGAGGTTGGTAGAAGATAAGAAGCGGCTGTTCTTTACCTTCTCTAAAGCAGAGTGCATTTGAGAGCTTGGGACAGTGGATTGGAGGATGCTTGTTGAAAGCGACTGTATATTCCTGTGGGCTTAGTGTTAAGGCTGCATTTCGATGTGTTTTCCTCCCAGAGCAGTCTCCCACACCACAGAACAAACACTACTTGAAAGTTGAAGAGGGCTTCAGAAGCAGTTTGTGGCAGGGCAGTAGAGCCAATTGTTTAAAAGTTGTCTTTGGAGGGGGGGGTGTTAGAAAGTCCTGCAGCGCTAGCACAAGCTGTCTGGGTCCCGATTCTTCTTCTGCAAAAGCCTTGTGGAACTAAATCAGCTTACTCTCTTCAGAGTTGTCTGTCGGTAGCATGTATGTAATCACGCATTTCCTCCAACAGAATGATATTTCCATTAGCAGAAGTGGATGTGTTTGTGTGATTCCTATCCCTCAAACCTTCTGGCCCTCCACTTTGGCTTGTAAGCTGTCCTCGAGGATCTGCCGACCTCCCAAGACGAAACTGGGGGAGAGGGCTTAGTGGGTTGCAGCAGGAAGGGGAAGTCCTACATCATGTAGTCTCTGGATGGTTGAATGCATGCCAGTGTAGAAGAAGAAGAGATTGCATTTATACCCCACCCCGCCCTTCACTCGTAGTCTCAGGCTTACAAACTCCCTTCCCTTCCCCTCCCCACAACAGGCACCCTGTGAGGTAGGTGGGGCAGAGAGAGCTCTTTCGAGAACTGCCCTTGAGGGAACAGCTCTGAGAGAACTATGGCTTGCCCAAGGTCATCTAGCAGCTGCAAGTGGAGGAATGGGGGAATCATTCGTGTTTCTCCCAGATTAGAGTCCACGCACTTAACCACTGCACCAAACTGGCTCTCACTATACTAAACTGGTATTATTTAGGACAGTGTTGTGCTACAGAGGTGAAAGTTTATGTTCAAACAGCCTCAGTGTTATATAAATTACCAAAACATATAACTTAATGTGATAGCTGTGTATGAAACGATGGCTGCATTCAGTGTTGAAACACTAGAATATGTGTGGTATGTCTTTAATCCCGGGCAGAAAAAGTTCTAAACTGAGGTGTGTAAGAATAGGGTCAAAAAACTGACCCTCTCCTCCCCCACCTCTAGTAATTTATAGGAATAAAAACCTTTGGGGTTTCATTAAGCATCATGACAACAGCTGCAAAGGGGAGAAAAATCCACATTTGAGAAACTTTCCTTTCATTTTGGCTGGAATAAAACTGCAGCAGAGACAACCAGGGAGAAAGCACAAAAAATGTAAATAAAGACTTGTTTATTTGAGTTATTACATTCTGAATAAAGTATGCATAACTTCACAAAGTAATGTTGCCACTTCTCAGTTGTCTGTCAGAGAGGCAGCCATCTAAATATGCTGAAAAGCCAATATGGACTTCTATGCTGTGCGCCCCCCGCCCCCTGCTAACTTTGGTTAACTGGGTGAAGTTCGGTAAAATAACTGAGATGTGAAGAATAGGAATAGGCAGCTATCAGTCCAGGGGTTTCAACCCAGACAGCTTTCCTTCTGGCCCCTAGCATAGCTCCCCATCCTAAAGACATCCTCTTCTCTTAGGTTGCTGAACAACTTTCTCGTGTGCACAGGTAGCAGCCAAAGCTGTGGTAGAGCTTTCCCTCTTCAGCCTCTCAGCCGCTTATTTTCATTTTCCGGTGTTTATATTATGTAAGAGGAGTGAGCAGCTGATGTGAAAAGGGCTCCATAAAAGCCTCGGTTGAGTTTACACTGCATTAAAGATCCTTTTGCTTGCATAAAACCAGTTGGTAGAACTCAGTGGTGTTGGCCTTTGGATGCTTGCTCAGTTTAAGACATGGCCCATGTATTTATTAAAATATGTGTACCCTCCCCTTTCCTCTTGGCTGAAGGGCAGCCAGCTGTCAGCTGTTAGCCAGAATAAGTCTTGTCTTCTGCCCGAGCCCTTCCCTTTCCTCTTGGTTGAAGGGCAGCCAGCTGTTAGCCAGAATAAGTCTTGTCTTCTGCCCGAATCAGTTACTTCTGCACGTTAAACAGTTTCAGAAGATACTGATAGTGTTCTGTTCTTTCCACTTCATTTTGTTTTAAACCCTGGAATCTGAAACCCTATAGTATGTGCACCTCTCGTAATTGTAAATTCTTCAACCCTGTTAAAAATGGGCTACTCAGAGGCAATCAGTCAACCTTTTTTTAGAAAGGCACATTAATTTATCTAAAATGGTTTTGATTTCAATTTCAACATCTCTTAAGTCTTTGAAAGCCTTTTCTAAGTAACAGTTCATGGTAATGAAGTAGTTTGTAGTCATTTTATTTGCCCACCAATCTAGTTTGAAGTGACAGCAAAAGCACTCATGCTTCTTATAACAATGGCTTCCATCTACAGCGCTCAAAACATTTGAGGGTCTGAACTGTTCACAAAAAGCCTATCAGTGAATCAGATTAAGAGAAGAGTTCCTATTTTATTAGTGAAGTGTATTGTTAATGATTCCACGTGTCCCATTAGCACCAAGTGTTTTTCACAGCCCCAACTATTGTGATCAACAGCCCTCAGAAGAGGAAACTGCTGTTTGCCAGTAGTGAGTGCATTTCTCCCAAAGTCAGACAGGAATTGAGAGGCATCACCTCACCTCACCCTGC